ATTTTGAACTCATGCTTTAGGTAATTGCATTTTAGCAAAATAGAAATACGTACTCCAGACTGCCCAAATTCAAAGTCCAGCTCTTCTACTTGGTAACTATGTAAATTTGGGTAGAGACTTAGTAGTAGTGGTAAGTTTTTATAAGTTGTTTAATTCCTGTAACAATTTAGATGCTATCATTGTCTCCATTTTACATTTGAAGAAACAGACACACAAAGTTTAAGTAATTTGCTCAAGATCACACAACTATTAAATGGAAGGAGATAGATTTTAAATCCCAGCAGTTAGATTCTAGGGTCCATGCTTTTAACTGTTTTGCTGTAATTGCCTCTCTTTTTCCTGATCTATAAATGGAACTTAACAGTACAGTCACATGTCACCGGATAGGGATTCGTTCTAAGGAACGTGTTCTTAGGCACTTTTTTCCTTGTGCAAACATGGTCGAATATACTTACAGAAATGTAAATGGCATAGCCTACTACACACCTACGCCATAGTATATCGCCTATTACTCCTAGGCCATAAACCCATATAGCTTGTTACCTGTGTTAGTACTATAGGCAAAGGTAGCACAATGATACTTGTATATCTAAACGTATCTTTTTTTTTCTTTTGAGACAAAATCTCACTTTGTTATCCTTGGTAGAGTGCTATGGCATCATAGCTCACAGCAACCTCAAACTCTCGGGCACAAGTGATCCTCTTGCCTCAGCCTCCCAAGTAGCTGGGACTACAGGCATCCACCACAAACAAAACCCATCTGTTTTTTAGAGATGAAGTCTCTCACTCTTGGTCAGACTGGTCTTGAACTCCTGGGCTTAGGCAATCCATGAGCCTTGGCCTCCCAGAGTGCTAGGATTACAGGTGTAAGCCACTGTACTTGGCTATCTACATGGAAAAGGTAGAGTAAAAATTCCATATTGTTATTGCCCACTGTTGCTAACCAAAGTGTTATTCTGTGGCAAATGACTATACCTACTTATTTAATCTAGCCATACTTTATTTTTACCTGGGGATAATAATGTCTATAACTTATAAGATTATAAGAAAATACCTATGAATAGTTTGTCATAAAGCCTATTTCTGAAAAATACTCCATGATTAATACTAAAATCAATGTAGCACTAATTTACTTCTGAATTAATGCAGTTTTTAGACAAGGTCAACTTAAGAATCTGTGGTTCTGTTCACACAAAAATGTATAGACAAATGTTCATAGGAGCTTTATTTATAATAGCCCAAAACTAGAAATAACCCAGATATCCTTCAGTAGATGAAGTGGCTGCCAGGGGTTCTCAAACTTTTTAAACAAAGGGCCAGTTCACTGTCCCTCAGACCATTGGAGGGCCAGACTGCGGGCCCTGGGACAAGTCAGCTGCTAAGCAGGAGAGGCAGCAGTGGCAAAAACACCTGGCGGACCGTAGTTTGAGGACACCTGGAGTGTAGCATAACCAGGAGTAGTGGCACTCTAGGAGGCTGAGGTGGGGGGATCCCTTGAAGTTCCAGCCCAGCCTGATCGATCATTTGTTGTAGTTTGGGTACAAGATCGTAGTGTCCTAAAATGGAAAACTGATTATATTTTCCTGTCCAGCCCTTCTCATAGCGTCTGTAACATAGAATAATAACCCCAATATCCAGAGACAGACCTATTGGAAGAAGTGGCCTATAGACTATGTCACTCATCTTTCCCGTCCAAGTCCCGGCCCCCCTCTAGAACCCACAGCTCTTCCATAGTAGTGGTTATGCCAGGGCACATTGGGAGGATCTGGGGAGCAGGATTGACAGGTCAGCTACTATAGGAGTTAGATCGCAGGAGCAAAGGAGCCCTGGAATCCCATAGGTAAAAGGAAGGCAGGCTGGTAGAGACCATTCCAATCTTCCTTATGGATGCACATTATACGTTTTTAGAATGACTGGATTAAGAACTACATTTGAAAACTAAAAGGAGATGAATTTCAAAGGAGTTTATGTGGTTCTCTTCACTGTACTGTGTAAGTTCTGTTAGGCCAGGGACTTAAAGTTTGTTCACCATTGTATTTTCAGGGCCTGGCGTGTAGTAGGTGGTTAGTAACTGTTGACTTAAATGGATACAATTCTGTTGTCATTAATTTTGTTGCTTTTAAAATATTGCTTACAAGAAAGGTGAGTATGAGCCAGGCACAGTGGCTCACCCTGTAATTCTAACATTCTAGGAGGCAGAGACAGGAGAATCACTTGAGACCAGCCTGAGCATGAGCGAGACACCCTCTCATCCCCACCTCACCCCTATCCTCTGGTTTCTACTAAAAATAGAAAAAATTAGCCATGTATTATGGCCAGTGCCTGTAGTCCTAGCAACTCAGGACACTGAGGCAGGAAGATCACCTGAGCCCAGGAGTTTTAGGTTGCTATGAGCTTGGGGCAACAGAGTGAGATGCTTTCTCAAAACAAACAAAAAAGTGAATGTGATAGCCAAAATGAAATAATTACATAGAGATTTCATTTAGTTATTTTGTCACTACTAGATACTAAGAATTGCATTTAAATATTTTAAACTTCTTTTAGCTACTAAAAGCTTCAGGCTTTACAATTAAGTATTTCTAACATACAAAAGAATGAATATAACACACAGTATAAAAAACAGTAAAATAGGGCGGCACCTGTGGCTCAGTGGGTAGGGCGCCAGCCCCATATACCGAGGGTAGTGGGTTCAAACCCAGTTCCAGCCAAACTGCAACAAAAAAATAGCCAGGCTTTGTGGCAGGCGCCTGTAGTCCCAGCTACTCAGGAGGCTGAGGCAAGAGAATCGCCTAAGCCCAGGAGTTGGAGGTTGCTATGAGCTGTGTGACACCATGGCACT